CCCGTGGCCCGCCTCCTTGCTGGTGCCCGGTTGGCTGGAGTCCGGCAGGGGCTTCTGCTCCCCTCTGCGTTCCCCCAGCCTAGAGCTTTTTTTTTTCTCCTTCCCACTATAGAAGTCCAGCATCAGAGTCAACAGAATGTCCTCTGCGCGCAGTTTGCGCGAGTCCCACAGACTGTCCTCTGCGCGCAGTTTGCGCGAGTCCCAGGGGCCCGGCCTTTCGCCGCTCTCCCCAGACTCCACCTCACAGCCCCGTCTCCCTCTGCCTGAGTCTGGGTCCCCAGAGATTAGCCTAGAACTGGGGTTCGGAGCAGTCCGGACTGAGGCTCAGCGCTGCCGGAGGCCTTGTTTCTTCCGGCTAGGGCAACCCAGCATCAGAGTCAACATTCAGTCCTCTGCGTGCACATTGCGCGCGACTCCAGGGGCCCTGCTTTTCGTCGCTTTTCCGCCTCACAGCCCCGTCTCCTCCTGCCGGAGCCTGGGTCCCCAGGGTCTGGCCCATAACTGGGGCTCAGCGCTGCCGGTTCGGCGGGGGGGCTCAGCGCTGCCGGTTCGGGGGTTCAGCCCAGGCTGGGGGTTTTATTTCCTTCCTGCTAGGAAAGGAAAGGCAGCACCCCGCCCTCTCCTCCTCTCTGGCTGCGACCTCTCCGTGCGCGCGTGCGGGCGGGCGAGCAGCATGTCTCCGTACCTTAGGCTTTTTTCAGCTCCTCTGATTTTCTTTCTGGTTTTCTCTTTCCTTCTTGTTGTAGAAATTTCAGTCAGTCGACTACCTGTAGCTCTGGGCAATGTCCACTCTACATTTTAGTTGTATTCCATTGAAATTGTTGTGTGCTGCCACGGCTAGATGTCTACCCGAGCAGCCATCTTGGATCCTCTCTCTCATTTTCTCCCCCTAGTACATTTTAAAAGATTAAAATAATACAAAGGATGTCCTGTGATTACAATGTAAAGAAATGAGGAAGAAAGATTTGGGGAAATAATAAATATGTAAAAGTTAAACTTCTGAATAAACAGTGGATCAAAGATATAAAAAGGTACAATCAGAAAAATACTTTGAGATAAATGAAAATGAAGTTACCACATTAGAAAATTATGGGATACAGCAGCAGTGCTTAGAATTTTGTAGCAATAAATGCCTGTATTAACAAAGAAGAAACTCCCTGGCTATTGTGGCATAATCAGAGCATCATCCATACATCAAGAGGTGGTGGGTTCGATTCCTGGTCAGGGCATATACCCAGGTTGTGGTTCCATCCCTCGTCAGGCGAGTGTGTACAGGAGGCAACTGATCACATCAATGTTTATTTTTCTCCTTCTCTCCCTCTGTCTTTTTCTCCCTCTCTATTTCTAAAATCAATAAAAATTAAAATAAAGATCTTTAGCTGAAACCAATTTGGCTCAGTGGATAGAGCACTGGCCTGCAGACTGAAAGGTCCCAGGTTTGATTCCGGTCAAAGGCATGTGCCTTGATTGCCGGCACATCCCCAGTAGGGGATGTACAAGAGGCAGCTGATCGATGATTCTCTCTCATTGATGTTTCTAACTCTCTATCCCTCTCTCTTCCTCTCTGTAAAAAATCAATAAAATGTATTTAAAATAAATAAATAAAGATCTGTAATTAATAACTTAACCTTCCACCTTAAGTCATTAGAAAAAGTAGAGCAAAGTAAAGCAAAATCAGAAGGAAGGATATAATAAAGCATGGAGTAGAAATTAATGAGCTAGAGAAAATTAAAAGCAATAGAGAAAATTAAGGAAACCAAAAACTGGTACTTTGAAAAGGAAATTTTAAAGCTAAATTGACAGAAAAAGGGAAATATGACTCAGATTACTATAATCAGAAATGAAAGAGGAAACATTGATATTAACCTTATAAAAGTTGAAAGGGTTATAAAGGAATACTGTGAACAAATGTATACCAATAAATTACATAACTTCGGTTAAATAAAAGACAACTTTTTAGAAAGATAAAAAGTACTGGAGTTGACTGGAAATAGACAATCTGAATGGGCCTATAACAGATAAAGAGATTGAATTAATCATAAAATTACCTGCAAAGAGATGTCCAGGTCCATGTGATTTCACTGCTGAATTCTACCAAACATTTAAGAATACTATTTCTTCACAAACACTTCCCAAAAATTGATAGAAAACACTTCCCAACTTATGAAGCTAGTGTTACCCTCATAACAAAGATGTCACACACAAAAAAAAACTGCAAACCAATAGGAGCATAAAATTCAAACTAAATTAAGCAGCATATGAAAAGATTTATACATCATGGCCAAGTGGTATTTATCCCAGAAGATGCAAGGTTAGTGTAAAGTTTACAAACCTCTTAATATAATATGTCAGTAAAATAACAAAAGCCACATTATTATTGCAATAGATGCAGAAATAATAAAATCTCAAAAACTAGGAATAGAAGGGAGCTTTCTCATCATAATGGAGGACATCTATGAAAAATCCAAAGGTAACATCATACTTAATGTTGAAAGACGTTTATGCCCCTAAGATTAGGCTTAAGACAAGCTTGTCTCCTCTCTGTACTTCTATTTAACATTGTATTGGAAATTCTACACCTGGTAATTGTGCAAGAAAAAGAAAGAAAAGGTATAAAAATTGAAAAGAAGCAAAATTATCTCTGGTAGATGACATGAGTTTGTACATGGAAAATCCTAAGGAATCTATTAAAAGATTAGAACTAATTAGCAAGTTGCACAAGGTAACAGGACACAAAATCAATATACAAAAATCAATTGTATTTTTGCTATGAACAATTCAAAAGTGAAGAGAGAACAGTTACATTTACAATAGCATCAAAATGATTAAAATACCTAGGAATACATTTTAATGAGAAGTGTGAAACACTCTGAAAACTATAATACATTGTTGAAAGAATTTAAAAATGATCTAAGTAAATAGAAAACATCTCATATTTGTGGATTGGTAGATTTAACATTGTTGAAGGTTGAAGTGACAATATTTGCCAAATTGATTTACAGATTCAATGCAATCCATGTCAAAATCCTAGCTGATTTCTTTGTAGAAATTGACAGGTGGATTAGAAAATTCTTGTGGAATTATAAGTTATCCAGAAAAGCCAACACAATCTTGAACAGAACAAAATAAGAGGACTTACACTTCATAAATTTATTACAAAAATGTTGACTGATAATTGGCACAAGAATACACATACAGGTCAATAGAATAAAATTAAGAGTTGAGAAATAAAACCATGTATCTGTGGTCAACTGATTTTCAGCAAGTGTGCCAAGACTATTCAACAGAGAATAGTCTTTTCAACAAATGATGCTAGAACATCTGGGTAGCTGTATGCAAAAGAATGAATTTGGGTCTTTACCTTATACCATACACAAAAATTAACTCAAAATGGATGACAGACCTAAATGTAAGCTAAAACTTTAAACTCTTAGAAGGAAACTTAGGGTTAAGAATCCCTAATTATGATACTAAAAGTATGATCAACAAAAGAAAAAATGTATTAATTTACACTTTATCAAAATTAAGAACTTTTGTGCTTCAAAGGACACCACAAAAAAATGAAAAGGCAATTGATATAATGGAAGAAAATATTTTAAAATCATAATATCTGATAAAGGACTTCTATCTAGAATATATAAATAACTTTTACAACTCTGATAAAAGACAACCCAATTTTAAAATGGGCAAAGAGTTTTAAAATGGAGGATATACTATTGGGAAATAACGATGTGAAATGACATCTAGCCCACTGGGAATTAAAAAAAAAAAGTTGATAGCAGGTGTTCACCAGGATGGTCAACCTTTATATACTGCTAGTGGGAATGTAAAACTGCCTAACTAGTTTTCCTAATTTTTGAAAACTAGTTCGGCAGTTCCTCAAATGATTAAACAGAGCTACCATATGACCTAGCACTTTCGTTCTTAGGTATATACTAAGAGGGATGAAAACGTGTCTATGCTAAAACTTGTCCACAAATAAATATTATTCATAATAGTCAAAAAAATAGAATGAGATAAATATAATGGGGTATATCCATACAGTGTGATATAATTTAGCCACAAAAAGAAATAAAGTACTGATATATGTTGCAATATGGATGAACCTTGAAAATATGCTCAGTGAAATAAGCCAGCCATAAAAGATCACACATATGATTCATATGAGATGTCCAGACTAGAAATGACAACTAGTGGTACCAGGTTTCTTTTTTGGTGATGAAAATTAAAGATTAACTGTGGCAATGATTGCATTTAGCTGTGAATATGCTAAAAACCATTGAATTGTATCTATATATCTATAAAAGCCTAAGCAATCGTTACGACTGGAATGACCAGACACTATGATGCACACTGACCACCAGGGGACAGATGCTCAATGCAGGAGCTGCCCCCTGGTGGTCAGTGTACTCCCACAGCCAGCCTTCAGTGTACTCCCACAGGGAGCACTTCCTATGCTCCCTCCCCTGGGCTGGTAAGCCCCAGGCTGGGTCGGGGAACCGGGAATGGAGGGCGGTAGATGCGGCCCCTTTCTCAGGGGGGGCTGAGGGCTAGAAGCCGACCTTTTGTGCCCTATCCCTCCTTTCACTTGGCAGGCCCCAATTGACCTGCTCCCCTCCCACCATAATGGTGGCGTGGCAGCGAGGGAAGCAGGAGGGGGGAGGCAGAGTACGGGGTGGCATCCTGGTGGTCAGTAAACTCCCATAGGGGGCTTACCACTCAGCCAGAGCCAGGCTCACAGCTGGTGAGTGTAACGGTGGTGGCATGGAGTGGGCCTAAGTTGGCAGTCGGACATCCCCTGAGGGCTTCTGGGCTGCGAGAGGGTGTAGGCCGGGCTGAGGGACCCTCCTCCCCCTTGAATGCACAAATTTCATGCTCTGAGTCTCTAGTACTTTAATAAAGGTGTTATATTTCTGGTATCCTTATGGGGTGAATCTGGGCAGAGGTCTTTACAGTAAGCTAAGCTCATCTGTTCCTTTCCTCTCATTTTTGTAGAAATCATGACTACCCCAGGAAAAGAGAACTTTCGCCTGAAAAGTTATAAAAATAAGTCCCTGAACCCTGATGAGATGCGCAGGAGGAGGGAAGAAGAAGGACTGCAGCTTCGTAAGCAAAAAAGAGAAGAGCAGGTAAGTCCTTTTCTATATTATTTATTCCTTTTAAAGTACTTAATGTTCAATTTTAAGACTGAAACCACTTTCCTTTAATTTTAATAATGATTTTATATATCTATATGTATATATACACATACACACACACACATACACACACACACACACACACACACACACACACACACATACATATACTATGTTTCCCCGAAAATAAAACATCCTCCGAAAATAAGACCTACTTATAGGTTTCTTTCTGAGTGAAATATAAGGCATCCCTCTGAAAATAAGGCCCCCCCAGGCTCTGCCTCAGAATGAAAATTAATTTACCGTAAACTGGTCGCTAGGGCCTCCCTGACTGGCGTCTAGCAACCAGTAACATTACTCGGAGTCCTGATGTTACTGCTGTGTAGAGCTGGAGCGGAGGTTGGAGTGAGTGGTGAGCGCGGGGCAGGAGAGAGGAGGAGACTTTCGCAGAGCGTGTAGAAGAACAGGAGGAGTAGAGCTGACGGGACGAAGGTGGTAAGTGCTGGTCTGTCTTTGGTGACACTACCTGATGCTTGCGGCCGCCCTCATGATGACTGAAGGTTCTTAGTCAGTGGCAGATCCTGCTCCAGCCCAGATCCAGGCCCCAACAAGCCCAGTGACAGTCCCCAGGCAGGCCCCAGGGGGTAAATGTCTGATAAAGGGGTAGGGGGGATGTCTGGTGAAGGTGTTCAGTGGCCCAGGGGTGGAGGGAGGGGGATCACTTAAAATGACACAGGAGGATCAGAGGGGGCAATCAGAATGACACAGGAGGATCAAAAGGGGTTACTAAAATGGTAATCCCCCCTCTGATTCTCCTGTGCCATTTTGATTCCCCCCTTTAATCCCCCGTGTCATTTTAAGTGATCCCCCTCCCCCCCCACCTTGATACCCCAATTCCTTTTTTTTTTACCCCTAGAAAATGAGCGCAAAAAGAAAAAGCTACTCCGTGGAGTACAAGAAAGGAATCGTAGGAGACGCTTGGGCCAAAATTTTACTGCTTTCTGCAAAGAGAAGATGTTGAGTATCCGATTGGTCCGAAAATGGCAAGCAGAGTATGGTAACCTCATTGAACAAGTGGACAAGGGAAATGCTAAAAAGCACAAGTGTGGATCAGGTTGGCAACCATTATTTTCCGAGCTGGAAGACCTGATCTGAATGGGTTGTTGACAGGAGAGCAAAGGCTTTGGTTGTGAATAGGGCTCAGATTCAAGAATTTTCCCTTGCAATGGCACCACAGTTTGACATAGCCCCCGAAGACTTCAAAGCATCACAACACTGGCTGGATAATTTCCTTCAGTGAAGTGAACTGTCTTGAAGAAGATGTACAACATTGTTTAGGTTGGAAGATACTCAAGTTATTAAACGCGCACTTGCATTCAAGTCCTTTATTGATGATGCTGACTTCTCTAAATACAATCTTTCCAACGTGATTGCTATGGATGAAACTGCAGTGTGTATGGGCCAATCATCTCAAACAACAATTGAACAGCGGGGTGCCTCCTTAGTGTACATTCCTTCCACTGCTTAGAAAAGTGCACGTGTTTCCTGTATTTTGGCAATTCGTCTGGATGGCACTAAAATCCCACCTTTAATCATATTTAAGGGCAAGAAGGACAAGATTGAATGTGTTTTGGGCGTTTTTATTCTTGAAACTGAAAAAACCTGGGCCACACAAGTAGTTATAAGGAAGTGTGTCGATTTAATGTTGCCGATTGTTATGCGAGGGAGCCAAAGAGGTCTGCTAGTCTGGGATGCAGCTAGCATTCACCGCGCAAAAGACATGAAGACATTTCTTCATGAAAGAAAAATAGATCAGATGAGGATTCCCGCAGGAATGATGGCCTATCTCCAGACTCTTGATATTGCAATAAACAAGCCATTCAAAGACAATTTGTGCATTGAAATTAATGACTACATTGAAAATAAAATGGAGAGAAATCAGCGTGGAAACTGTGAAATCTAAACTGCAAGAAATAGTGACTTGGGTGAAGAATTCATGGGAGAAAATCACTGACAGTTGCATTGCAAATGCACTGCGAGCAGGCTACCTTGACAAGAAGTACTCATTTAAAGACAGTGCTATTGTTAAACATGAGAGATTTGGTCCACTGATTCTGAAAGAAATGGAGTCACAAGAAATTCACCAGGAAATTCAGGAATTGGATTGTTATGATGATGTTCCAGAAGATGATGACCTGATTGTCATTGAATAAATGAGTAAATTCTTGATACTGTACGATTCACAGTTTGTCTGGTTTGTGTTGACAACTACCATACTACCGTACCGTATACAGGTAATAAATTTCCTTTATTTTCATTTAACAATAAATGTGTACAGTATTCTTCTTTTGGGAAAATAAGACATCCCCTGAAAATAAGACCTAGCGCATCTTTGGGAGCAAATATTAATATAAGACACCGTCTTGAGGAGAGATCCAAGATGGCTGCTCGGGTAGACATCTAGCCGCGGCAGCACACAACAATTTCAATGGAATACAACTAAAATGTAGAGTGGACATTGCCCAGAGCTACAGGAAGTCGACTGACTGAAAATTCTACAACAAGTAGGAAGGAGAGGACCATAAGGAAAATCGGAGGAGCTGAAAAAAAGCCTAAGGTACGGAGACATGCTGCGCGCCCGCCCGCACGCGCGCACGGAGAGGTCGCAACCAGAGAGGAGGAAAGGGCTGGGTGCTGCCTGGCGTTCCCTAGCAGGAAGGAAATAAAACCCCCAGCCTGGGCTGAACCCCCGAACCGGCAGCGCTGAGCCCCCCCGCCGAACCGGCAGCGCTGAGCCCCAGTTATGGGCCAGACCCTGGGGACCCAGGCTCCGGCAGGGGGAGACGGGACTGTGAGGCTGAATCCCAGAAGAGCGGCGAAAAGCAGGGCCCCCAGAGTCGCACGCAATGCGCGCGCAGAGGACTGAATGTTGACTCTGATGCTGGGTTGCCCTAGCCGGAAGAAACAAGGCCTCCGGTGGTGCTGAGCCTCAGTCCGGACTGCTCCGAACCCCAGTTCTGGGCCAATCCCTGGGGACCCAGGCTCAGGCAGAGGGAGACGGGGCTGTGACGTGGAATCTGGGCAGAGGACAGTCTGTTGATTCTGATGCTGGACTCCCCTAGCGGGAAGGAGAAAAAAAGCTCCTGGCTGGGGGAACGCTGCGGGGAGCGGGAGCCCCTGCCGGACACTGGCCAACCGGGCACCAGCAAGGAGGCGGGCGACGGGGCACCTGGCGGGGGTGCCCCTGAGCCTTCGACCGCTGAGTGCGGGCAATGGAGCCAAGGCCGGGGGCTGCTTCCTGGGCGGCGCCGTCCCCGGCAACAGGCTGAAGCAGCGCAGGAGCCCGCGGAGAACAAAGGGGTGCCACAGGCCAACCTGCTGAGCTCCCAGGACAAGGAGGAAGAAACCAAAGAAGTTCTCAATGTGAAGAAATCAAGTGAGAGCAAAAAATAGTAAAATTACTTAAGAAAGAATACAAAGAAGATCTTGAAAAATCAAAGACTAAGTCAGAACTCAACTCACCAGCCAACATTGCAACATAAATGCGTTTTTTTAAGAAAAAGAAAAAAAAAAGGACAGAATGTTGGAACAGCGGCGGCCAGGCCTAGAGTGGCCAGGCACAAGGCAGTAGCAACCAGGCCCGGAGCAGCAACGGCCAGGCCCCAGAGCAGCAGCAGCAGCAGCCAGAACCAGAGCATCAACAGCCAGCACTGGAGCAGCCAGACCTGGGGCAGTGGCAGCCAGGCCTGAGGCGGAGGCCGCCAAGCCCAGGGTGGCCAGTCCAGGAACACCCAGACCCGAAGTGGCCGGGCCCGGAGAAGCCGGGCTCAGAGCAGCCGGGGTGGGAGCAGCCAGACCCAGAACAGCAGTAGCCAAGCCCAGAGCATCCAGGCTGGGAGCGGCCAGGCCCGGAGCACCCGGGTCGGGTGCGGCCATGCCCGGAGCAGCGGCTGCCAGGCTGGGAGCGGCCAGGCCCGGCGGAGCAGGCGGGTCGGGTGCGGCCAGGCCCGGAGCAGCGGCTGCCAGGCTGGGAGCGGCCAGGCCCGGGGGAGCAGCTGGGTCGGGTGCGGCCAGGCCCGGAGCAGCGGCTGCCAGGCTGGGAGCTGCCAGGCCCAGGGGGGCAGCCGGGTCAGGTGCGGCCAGGCCTGGAGCAGCGGCTGTCAGTCTGGGAGCGGCCAGGCCCCGAGCAGCGACAGCCAAGTCCAGAGCAACTAGGTCGGGAGCGGCAGTGACCAGACCCGGAGCTGCTGGTTGTGGAACGAACCAGAGCAACAGAGGCCAGGCCCTGAGCAGCCAGGCCCGGAACAGCTTGCTCCTCGCCTGCCCCTGCCCCACGGCTGCCTCTCAGACATGGCTGGAAACTTTCGTGGGAACTTGAGGGTCTGCTGAATCAAGTGATGAAGGCTTAGATCTGGATGTGTTGAGTTAGTATAGGGCTGGGGTGTTAATCTGTGAGTGCCTTGGGTGGGGCCTGGATGAGGCTGGTGGACCTATTGGGAAATGTCTTTTGTGTGAAGTGTATCATTGGGCATGTGGAGGTATTATTGATATGAGAAAATGCTAAGTAACTGATTTACTATCTGAAAAGGGATTTACTATCGGGGAAAGGGAGGGAAGAAGAGACTGAACATAAACTGTGCACCTATGGATGAGGACAATGGGGGATGGGGAGGGGGCGGAGGGTGGGGTGGGAACCTGGTGGAGGGGGGAAGAAATGAGGAACCTTTGTAATAATATGAACAATAAAGATTGATTAAAAAAAAAAAAAAGACACCGTCTTATTTTTGGGGAAACGGTACACACACACACACACACACACATATATCCCACAGACACAATATAAAATCAACATGTTTTGGGGGTGGGGAGAAAAAGTGAAATACAAGAGTGAGGAAATCTCTCCTGTTCCCATTTTTCTACTATAACCACTGTTAAATACTTTGACCTATTTGTTTTTAGTGTATTTTGTTTTTCTAAAGTTGCAACTTAAGATTTTCTGTACATTTGTTTATTTGGTTTTTTTTTTGTTTTCTGCCAAACGCTTTGTTGTTTCATTTGGTCTGATGCAGGGGAGAGGGCTCCAGGGTGGTTAAAAGAATGGCTAGTAGTTTTGGGAAGAAGCTCAGGTAAAAGCCAGAGACACCAGGGGGTTTGGGGGGGGGCGGCGGGGGCCCTTAAAGGTTTCTGGGCTCCAAATGCTCAGTTGTGCTTGAGAGTGAGCCTTTTGAAGAGATACTCGCCCCGCCCAGCCGGGGGGCAGCCAGCCTGCGGATGTTAGTCAGGTGGTCGCCCATCTTCTTGATCAGTTTCACCTCATCCAGGAAGTGGTTCTCCAGGAAGTCGCAGACCTGCACATGTAGAAACCAGGGCATGCAGCTCCAAAAGGGCCTGGTTCAGGCTCTTCTCCAAGGTGTCCTGAGTTTTGGACCAGTCATCCTGGGAAGGTTTCTGCACATCCTGGGAGAGACCTCGGCTGCCTCGCTTGTTTTGCAACTTTAATAAATGCTCTATGCCTCGTGCTTCTTCTTCGCTAACTCTCGGAAGAAGAGGCCCACACCCTCCAGAGCCACATCATCACGGTTGAAATAGTAGCCCAGAGCGAAGTAGGTGTAGGAGGCCCGCAGGTGCAGATTGACCAGGCGATTGACCGCAACCTCCACCTCGGGGGAATAATAAAGGGTATAGTTTGGTGGTTTGATATATTATTTGAAACTACTAATGTAATTAAGATAGTAAACCTATTGCCTGGCTGGTGTGAGCATCAACTCATGATCCAAGTGGTTACTGGTTCTATTCCAGGTCAGGGAATATGTTCAGATTGTGGGCTTGATCACCAGTAAGGGATATGCAGGTGGCAACCATTGATTTTTTCTCTCTCTATCCTTTTCCTCTTTCTAAAAATGAATAAAAACATATTTAAAAAAGAAAATATAATGAAACAATTTCTTTCAAAACTTTCTGCTATACCTTTGTAGTACCCGTTCCTGTTTCTAAGCAATTTATGTCACCACTGATTAGTTTACATAAATGGAATCATACAACATGTATTTTTTTTGTCTGCCTTCTTTTAGTCAGCTTACTAATTTTGAGGTATACTTATGCTGTGTATGTATCAGTTGGTTTATCCATTCACTTGTTGACGGTAATTGGGAGCGTTTCTGGGTTTTGGTGATTGCAAATAAAGCTGCTGTGAGCACTTATAGCTGGCTCTTATAGATACATATTTTCCTTTCTCTGGGATAAATATCTAGGAACAGAATGGCTGGATTGTTTAGTAGTTGTATAGTTAAGAAGCTGTCAACTGATGGCCAAAATGGGTTGTACCATTTGACCTACCCATTAGTAATGTATGGAGTTTCATTTTCTTGTCAACATTTGGTATGGTCAGTTGTTTTCCAAGGTGTGTGTAATAGTATGTCGTTATATTTTTAGTTTGCATTTTTCTAATGACTACGGTTGAATGTATTTTTTCACAAGCGTATATGCCATTTGTATATCCACTTTAATGAAGTCTGTTTAAATATATTCCTTGTCCTACAGGAATATTTTTATGTTCTGTACATATTTTTTCAGTCTTTTTCTTTTTTCTTTTGGATTGCTTCTATTGCAATGTCCATAAATCCACTAATCTTTTTTTTCTATAATATCTAATCTGCTGTAAATCCACCCAGCATACTTTTCACCTGAAAAATTTTTCATCTCTAAGTATTTGATTTGCTTTTGTGTGTATGTGTTTTCCAATCTCTCCTTCTCATGTCTATATTTTACTCTACTTTTTGAATATTGTGGATTTATTTATGAAAACTATTTTAATGTTCTGGTCCAGTTTGCCATCTTTATCATTTCTAGGTGATTTTGATTGATTTTTTTCTTCTTTATTGATAGTCGTCTACTTTTGCATGCTTGGTGATTATTAATTGAGTGCCAAGCATTGTGACTTTGATCTCATTTGATCTTGGAATTTTTTTATGTACTTTTAATAAGTATAATTTTATTTCCCCATAATGTATATAATTCTGACATTGTCATTGGATGTAGTTAATTTGCTTGGAAGTAGTTTGCAAAAAACTTTCAGCAGGCTAGAGCAGAACAGCCTTTAATTCAGGGCTAATTTAGCATCACAGCTAAGTCAATACTGCGTCTTCTACTCAGTGCCCCTTATATTAGGAGTTTTTTCTATTCTAGTTTGTCAGAACATAAACTATCCCTTGATCTCTGTAACCTCTGAAATTGTTCTGCATGCTCATTGAAAGTGGTTCATTTTTTAACTTTGGATCTTTTCCTCACACACCTGCAATGAACAATATTAAGCTAAAGATTCAAGGAATACTTTCTGCAGGTTTTTGGAGTTCTGTGTTGATCTCAGGAAATGGCCAAGCATGCCCCAGCTCCATTTTCCAACCTTACCTTTTTATATGTCATGCAAGTGTGAGATCTCTCAGTAAGTTTTACTCATCAAGTGGTAGTTAATTTCAGTGTATTATAAAACTGGAGAATTCTGAAATAGTTTCACCAGGAAAGGTTGAAAGTGGCACAGACTTTCAAATTTTTAAAATAATTTTCAAAATCTCCATCCTTATTACCTTTTAACTGAGGTGACTAGTGTTTGGCTGTCGAACTCCCTTGTGTTAAAATTACTTTAGTAATAATATTTTATTTTTCAGTTATTCAAGCGAAGAAATGTTGCTACTGCAGAGGAAGAAACAGAAGAGGAAGTTATGTCGGATGGAGGCTTCCATGAGGCTCAGATTAATAATATGGAAATGGCACCAGTAAGTAAGATAATAAACTCTTTTTAGTGTTTCTCTGATGAAAATGTGAGGTTTCGTCTATAGAACTCTAATACAGTCCACAAAATACTTCACATTAATTTAACATCCACTTAAAAAACAGAGAACAGCTTGACTTCCTGAAAAGTTTTAATAAAGCAAGAAAATTTAAATAAATTTAAGTCAGTTGTTGAATTTAGCAGTGGCTAGAATCTGTATTTTATATTGGATGATTCTACTCATTCAATAAATATTTGTTGAACATCTACTGTATGCCAGCTATCAGTGATAGAGTGGTAAGATAGACAGGATCTTTGGCTTTCAAGGAGCTTACAGGGTACTAAGGAAACCTGAGCAGTAAACAAATAACTAAGAAAAATATATATCTGATAGTGAAAAGGGATGTACCCAGGATTAAAATAGAGGGATAGGATAGATATGGAATGGATCCTTTAAATTTGGAGGTCATGAAAAGCCTTCCTTTAGAATTTAACATTTAATCTGAGTTACAAGGAATAGCTAACACTTTGATGAGCAATGAGAGAAAGAATTAAAAAAAAATCTTATCTTAGTATTTACTATTAAGATGACTGCTTTCTCACTGTCGTGAGCTTTTTAATGATAGATACTGACTTCCCATTATTAATCACCTCATTTTTTACATGTAAAGATTGCCCTCCCGTAGTGTAACTTCTAGATAAATATGATTAACTTAGTAACATTACTACAATGTATACTATCTTTATCTTTGAATTAAAGTTAAAATTTCCTTATATTTGTTTTTTGTTTGCTATCCCAGGGTGGTGTTATTACTTCTGACATGATTGAAATGATATTTTCCAATAGCCCAGAGCAGCAACTTTCAGCAACACAGAAATTCAGAAAACTGCTTTCAAAAGGTGAGTTTTGAATATCCTAAATAATAAAAACCCAGAGACCTAATGGCGGAATGATCAGAACCTCTGGACCACTCCCTATGAAGTACAGTGACCACCCTGGGGCAGACAATCAATGCAGGAGCTGCCCCCTGGTGGTCAATGTGCTCCCACAGCGGGAGCAGCCAGCAAAGGGCAGGTCCACAGCTGCTTGACTAACCAGGTTGAGCTGTGCTCCCACAACAGGCCGCTCCCCGCAGGCCATGCCACCGACCAGTGCATGAATTCTGTGTACCAGACTGCTGGTGTTACATATAATATTTATTTATAAAATATCACTTTCCCATAACCTATTGTTCACACCACAGATAACTTGCTTTGGAGTTTGTCTATCAACAGAATAAAAGGATGCATACAGAAATATGTATAACTCTGAGGCGTAGCTAACTTTTGGATTTCCTTGTTTATTTGTGTGATCTTATCAGGACCAGAAAGCAGCATTATTTTTATTGCTGAGCTATCTTAAAAAAGACTTTGAAGTGGTATGAACAGTAGTTAGTATTTTATATTAATTCATATTGAGAAACTCCACTCTTTTTTAAGAAAATTTTCAAAAATGTTAGTAATCATGGTACAGTAATGTTTCATTGTATTTGCAGCATTCTAAACTCCCTAGTACTTTTCTTTATGAACTGTTTTCAAGTGAAGTCGTGTGGATTGTTATTGTTTTAATTTTAAAAAAAAACTCCATTGCTGAGTTTTGCTTTACCCCTGTTGCTATATTGCCAACTTTGGCTTAACGTTCTTTCTATATGTTGTTTTTGTAATCTAGCATATTAACTACTTAGTCTTTATTATAATATCAAATTTATTTGTTGTGTTTATCTGAATGCTTGGTAAAAACGTCAGGCAAAAAACATGCCATTAGAATTCTCTCCAAATTATCATTGAACCATTAATCAGCTCTTTCAGTAAAGTCATTGACTTGGCTAAGAATTTGTAGTAGTATTGTAGTCCAGTTGCCATTTTTCTTACATTACTACATAAATTTCATAAAAAAATTTGTAAAATCTCTTGCTGAAATTATTATGCTGATTATTTAGGACATTTCCTATTTATTCATCCAACAAGTTTCTACTGACTTCATTTATAAGCTACTCTTGTTATAAATGAAAATGAGATTAAATTGGCAGTCATCCTTAGTGCATTCTTGCTCTGATTTCTACTTAACAACTTAACAGCTACAAAATTAAGTTCTGCAAGCAAACTCAGAATGTCCTAATCCCATTTCTTTCCATTTTCAAACTAATAACAAGTGCCAGGAAGCAAGATCTCAAATGCTCCCCTGATCCAGTTTCTTAAGATAGCTTATCTATCTATCTATCTATCTATCTATCTATCTATAAAAGGTTAATATGCAAAGTGTCCCCCTGAGAGTTTAATCGCTCGCTGTAAGGTGCGCTGACCACCAGGGCATGTGCAGGAAGGCCCTGGCTAGCTGCCAGCAGCTGGGGAATGGAGGCCCCAATCGGCCCTGATTGCCGGCCAGGCTAGGGACCCTACCCATGTATGAATTCCAGGCTTCTAATGTTAAATGAAAAAGACAAATAATAAACCCATACACAAAAAATGGACTAGAAGAAAGTATACCAAAATAATAACAGTGGATATCTTTGAATGGTTTTTCCTCTATTTTCTAAAATACTAGAGGTAGTAATTTTAATTTTTAAGAATTCTGCCTATCATTTTCATGTTAAAACTTATTTAATGTGAAATCTTTCAAGCTGCTGCAGTCTCAAAGTGACCAAACTCAATTTTACATTGTTTTTCTTTTTGAGATTTCTAACGTGAAAGAGATGCTAAAACGTAGGGAGGGAATTTTTATCTATAAAGTCTTTGCATTGAAATCAAAGGATTAATTTTCTTCTTTCCTTTTATTTTATGGTGAGACAGAACCTAATCCTCCTATCGATGAAGTCATCAGCACACCAGGAGTAGTGGCCAGGTTTGTGGAATTCCTCAAACGAAAAGAGAATTGTACACTGCAGGTATGACCCTTTACATTTCTTGCCTCTTATCTTCTCTTTGCAAATTCACATCTTGTTACTTATTTTAATCTATATGAAGGGTTAGTTTTTTTAATGATGTTTCCAACAACCACATTGTAAGTTTCTTTGATAGTTTTTTAACATTCAGGTCCTTGATTTAACTCTTTAGAATTTTTGTCATATTTTTGTCACGTAAAAGATCATTTTATGATGATTGTGGATAATACTTATCCAATAGGGAATTGTTTGCCATAGAGGAGCTACTATAGATAGATCGTAAGTGTGGGCTATGTAAAATTTGGTTTTGAAGGATTTTTAGCTTATACTTGTTAGCTTTCTCACTAATTCCCAAATCTGGTCCTAATTAGTCCTTCCCTCCCTACTTCCAAAGAACTGACAAGGAGATAGCCTTGGCAGGCATCTACGTGCTTTTTGCTGTATTAATTTAGTCTATCAATACTGTGTTATCTTAGAATTCTAAGAGGAAATTCTACAAATTCTGGATTGGATAATTTTCACAGTAAAAAGATCTATTGCCAACTGACTCATCCTGGGAATTATTTATAAATTTTAAAATACTATTTTGTGAGTGCCAGCAGAGCAATGGGGGTGTGAGAGAGCCCCTGTCCTCTTCCCTTGAAGTTGACCAACTATAATTCAACAAAAAAATCTCTGCTCAACATAGACACATGCTGGAGAGACCTGCACATTGGAACATCTAAACGTTAACAACCGGGAATAAATGGGAGAGGAGAAGGGAGGAAAGTGCAGGTGGCCCTTAGACAGCCTTGCACTAAGGAGCTTATAGTTTGGCTGGCCAGGAGAAGGGAGAAAGCCTGTGGTAGCAGACGTTTCCTTCAGCTGGAGGAACAGAGAGCTTTGGGGGGTAGGGAGTCAGCCCCGCAGGCCTAGTGGCAGGGGAATTAATAGTGTCTGAATTAGCAGATACCTGACAGGGTTCTGCCATGCAGCTCTCCACGTTCAGGCTGATTGTGTTTCATACAAAGAAATGAACCACACAGCCCTCTTGTACTTGTACTTCCAAAGATCAATTCCCATTGCCTTTGGAGTTGGGTCCAGGAGCATATTATGTATAAACCAAGAGCTATTGCAGTGGAACCACTGTCTCCTGTGACTGATCTCCAGAAGGGGTACTTGGGGCAGGACCCATGGAGGTCAGGAATCGCCTTTACGGTGAGAATAAAACAAACCCCCAAGAAGCTCAGCTGTACTCTTTTATGGAAGCCATGAAGGTTCAACACTGGGAGATCACAAAAGTAAACAATCTTGCAATTCAGTGCCATTTACTGGAAAATAGTAGAAAGGACTCTTTAGAGATAAATACTACATACTAATAGGCAAAGGAGTACATCAAATACCATGAATAACCACAGTAATGAGGATAACCAGAAAGAAAATGAAAACTCTCCAGAAAGAAAGGTTGAACACATGGAAATCTATACTAATAAAAGGGTAATATGCTAATTAGACCAGATTTCTTCCAGACGAACTTCTGGACGTCCTTCTTGACAAAACAGGGCTCAGGTAAAGCCGCCTGAGGTCCCGGGCACCTGCGGCTGGCCTGGGTGCAGTCAGCATGGGTCCCGGGTGTGGGGGCCAAAACAGAGGTGATTAGGAACAATCAGGCTGGCAGGGGAGCAGTTAGGAGCTATCAGGCCGGCAGGGGAGCAGTTAGGGGAGATCAGGTAGGCAGACAGAAGGGTTAGGGGCAATCAGGCACCAGGCAGGCGAGATGTTAGAAGCCAGTGGTCCCGGATTGTGAGAGGGATCAGGCCTAAACTGACAGTTGGACACCCCCCAAGGGTTCTCTGATTGGAGAGGGTGCAGGCCAGACTGAGTTACCCCCCCTCCCCCTCCTCTTCCCCCTACATGAATTTTGTGCATTGGTCCTCTAGTATATGATATAAAGGACAAGATATTTCAAGATTGCAGTTCTGAAAATACTTAATGAGCTGCAAGAGAATATAGACAGGTAACTTGGTGCACTCAGAAAACAAATGAATGAATAAAACAAGTATTTTACCTAAGTGATTAGAACTTTGAAAAAAGAACCAATCAGAAATCCTGAAAATGAAGCATGATGTTAAGGAGATCAAGAGTGAACTACTGCCAAAACCAGTTTCGCTCAGTGGATAGAACGTCCGTCTGTGGACTGAAAGGTCCCAGGTTCGATTCTGGTTAGGGGCATGTATTAATACATTGGTTGTGAGCACATCCCCAGTGAGGATGTGCAAGAGGCAGCTGGTCGATGTTTCTCTCTCATCGATGTTTCTAGCTCTCTCTCTCCCTCTCTGTAAAAAAAAAAAAAAAAAAAAATCAATAAAATATAAATAAAAAAAAAAAAAGAAGTGAACTACTGCCCCATCTGGTTTGCTCAGTGGATAGAGCGTCAGCCCACTGACTGAAGAGTCCCAGGGTTGATTCCAGTAAAGGGTAAATAGCTTGGTTGCAGGCGTGATCCCTGGCTCCAGTTGGGGCACATGCAGGAGGCAACCAGTGTCTCCCTCACGTAGATGTTTCTCTCTTTGTGTCTCTCCCTCTCCTTCCACTCTCTCTGAAAATCAATGGAAAAATATCCGTGGATGAAGATTAAAAAAAAAAAAAAAAAAAAAAAGTGAACTACTTAGCATAGAAAACAGAGCCAACCAGATGGAGCAAAGAATTAGTGATATCGAAGATTTCAATCTACAAACCACTAAGAGGGGAAAAGAGAGATCTGAGCATAAAGAAAAATGAAAGCTCTACAAGAACTATCTGACTTCATCAGAAAAAGCAATATTAGAATTATTAGAGACCCAGTGCATGAAATTTGTGCACGGAGGGTAGGGCCCCTAGGTCTGGCCGGTGATCAGTGCAGAGATTTCCTGCCTTCCCATCTCCTTCTTCCCTTGCTCCCTCAGCATCCCACTGCCATTGCTGGTCACCCACTATGTTTAGCGCCATCCTGTTGGTCAGCACATGTCATAGCAAACGGTTGAACTCCTGAGGGGACAATTTACATATTAGCCTTTTATTATGTAAGATAGGCATTCCAGAGAAGGAGGAGGGGGAGCATGGAACGGAAAGTCTATTTAAACAAATAGTGTATTATGAGAACTTGTAGATTTTGAATCCCAGAAGAAAACAGAACACTTAGTTACCTCAGTCCAAAGAGGCCCTCTCCAAAGCACTTGGTATTCAAGTTATCAAAAATTAATGACACATCATTAAAATGTCCATACTACCCAAGGCAATTCATAGACTCAGTGCAATCCCTATTAAAATACCAATGAAATATTTCACAGAGCTAGAACAAATAGTCCAAATATTTGTATGGAATCAAAAAAGACCCCGAATAGCTGCAGCAATTTTGAGAGAGAAAAAGTTGTAGGAATCACAATACCAGATTTCAAGTTATACTACAAAGCCACTATAATCAAAACAGCCAGTTACTGGCACAAGTACATGCGTATAGATGAATGGAATAAATCAGAAATTGACCCAAGCCATTACACTCAATTAATATTTGACAAATGAGGCAAGAGCATACAATAGAGTCAAGAGAGTCTCTTCAAGAAATGGTGTTGGGAAAATTGGACAGATATATACAAAAAAACGAAACTAGACCACCAACTTAGACCACACACAAGAATAAAACTCAAATGGATAAAAGAACTTAAATTTTAAGTTGTGAAACCATAAAAATCCTAGAAGAAACCATAGGCAGCAAAACCTCAGACATTTCTTGTAGCTATGTTTCAGATATATCTCCTAAGGCAAAAGAAACTAATGAGAAAATAAACAAGTGGGACTACATCAAAATAAAAAAGCTTCACAGAAAAAGAAATCATCAACAAAATGAAAAGAGAGCCCACTCTGGGAAAGAGATATTTGGCAATGATTTATCTCATAAAGGGTTAATATTCAAACTATATAATGAGCTCATACAACTTAACAAAAAGAAGACAAAAATGGGCAAAGGACCTAAATAGACACTTTTCCAAAGAGAATATACAGATGGCTAAGAGACATATAAAAAAGTACTAGAAGTCACTAATCATCTGAGAGATGCAAATCAAAACGATAATAAGATATTATCTTATACCTGTCAGAAATGGCTACCATTAACAAATCAACAAATGACAAGTGCTGGTGAGGACGTGGAGAAAAGGGAACCCTAGTACACTGCTGGTGGGAATGCATACTGGTGCAACCATTATGGAAAATAGTATGGCGTTTCCTCAAAAAATGAAATATGCATTTGCATTTGAACTAGTGATCCTACTTCTAGGAATATATCTTAAGAAACCCAAAGCACCAATCAGAAAGAATGTGTGCACCCTTGTGTTCATAGCAGCACAATTTACAGTAGCTAAGATCTGGAGACAGCCCAAGTGCCCATCAGTAGATGAGTGGATAAAAAAGCTGTCATACATTTATACCATGGAATACTATGCAGAAGTAAAGAATCTCTTACCCTTTGAGACAGTATGAAGGGACCTGGAGAGTATCATGCTAAGTGAAATAAGTCGGTCAGAGAAGGACAGGTATCACATGATTGTACTTATAGGTGGAATCTAAGTAACAAACTGATGAACAGAGTGAATCCAGAGACATGGTAGCATGGAACAGAGTACAAATCTCAGAGGGAAGGCAAGGTGGGTGGGAGGTAGTCAACCAAAGACCTCGAATGCATAATCCATGAACACAAATAATAGGGTGCTGAAGGCAATATCCACTGAGAAAAACTGGGTAGGGTAAAACATCACTTCCCCCTTTCCTCCCAAGATTATTATTCAGATTTATTGTCTTATTTTTTCCAAAGTATTTTCAAAGTTGCCCACATGATTCCTCATCAACATAAGCAAGCCTAAAGCACATGTGATGAGTTTAGTGATGAAAGAGCTGAAGACTCATGGGAGTGAGGACTATTCCCAGTTCATTGAGGACCTCAATCACAACTTTGTCAGCAGCAGAACCAGATAGAGGAGCAATATATG